CATTCATAGCAGTAGGAAGTGACGGAAAACACTGGCCCACGTGCTCAATTTGAGAATCACTGGTCTGGCCAGTTGGCATTTCTTTGGAATCCAGAATGTATGGATTCTTGGAGGGCTTACCATAACCTTGAGAGGCATGTTTCATTCTCACCTGAAACCGTTAGCACTGAGAACAAACAGAAAGAAGAAAAAAGAAGAGAAATCACTGAAGATAACAGTTCTTCGTTCATTCTCTTGTATTTTTTCCCAGCAAAATCACGATTGCCTAGTTTCACTATTTGTTCCTGGTGTGTTCCAATCTGTTTTCCTGGTTGGTTCCCCTCCACAGCTTCTTACTGTGTTCTACTGTATGTTCCTTGCATTGTTCCCCTACATGTTTCATCCATGCTTCGTTCCACACTATGTTCCAGACATTTTTATCAAATAATTGATGTTCCTAATCTGCTTGCATGCTAGAGAACACATGTAATTAGTTAACCACAACTAGTGCTGTATGCTTTGAGCCAGTGACGTCAATCCTGGCCAGTGGAGCGAGGCTGGGACCGATAAAGAATATTAACCGAGCAATAATGGACGAATTAACAATACAATAATGGATGCAGTTTACATGGTAAATTACATTTCCTTGAATTCGTCTGTTTCTGAAGTTACATGAACAACAACAACAGTCGGAAAAGGTAAACGTTATGAGAAGGGACAAGTAATTCAAAGTTTTCTAATTAGTTTCTTCTGTGTGCAAAGTGAAGTTTTACTTGAAAAATATGAAAATCAATAATTTCATTGTATAAATTCATCATATCCTGCTTGTGTCTCTGTGGTTTGTTGAAGCAAACGTTTAAACATTGTTATTTCTGAAGTATTGCGCAGCTTCCGATGCAGCCGCAGTAAACGTGAGTGTGGTCCCACGACAAACAGCAGTTAGGATGTGAAATGGTAAACTGTCACACATTCTAGGTTGTGACACAATCATGCTGGATGACCTCCGTCACTTGCTGTCGCCTTTTCTTCCTAGTAAATTACTTAAATTTTATGTTGGCTATCTTGTCACGACCGCGAAAAAAAAAAAGGGGAGGGGGGGGGGTGTATTCTTCTGCGTCTGTCATTGAAAGGCGGTTGCCAAGTTTTATTGGGATATATCATCCTTTCGACGCAACACTTCCGATTTCTCAACATCTTCAATTAATTGCCTTTTACGACATGTTTGTAGAGATTAGTGGGTCTCTTCTTCACTAAGCACCCACCTACAGTATAGCTCTGGAAGCCACACGGGGGAAAGCTGGGTATTCGCTCAGTACAGTTTCTGAAGTTTGAATGACGGATCAACATCATGGAACACGGGTTGTAACCTTTAAGTGCCCCGTTATTCTTCTAACTCAAGTCTGAGTCCAAAGAAGCCCAGGACAGTGCACGGGCTCCATAGCACCAGCGAGGATCCTGAAGCAATCATTTTATCATTTTACTCTAAAAATAAACCTACCCACAGTGTGTACCTGGTGAAGTAAGATCTGATAAAGCTACCGACACACTTGCAGTCTCCCGACTACTTCCGACATCCTTCCCTTGCGAACATTCCACATAGCATCCAGACTATGTAGACAGAAAACCGTGATAGTATGTGGTCGTAGATGCCATGATGGATGACACGCTAGATCTAAAGTACCACCACACAGACTAGCTGGAATCTTAACGAGAGAAAGGAGGTAAATCCACAGAGTTAACAGAACGTTTTGAGAATAGTCTCTATCGTCTGACGAAACCATCTGATTAAATGAATAAATGAATGAATGAATGAATGAATGAATGAAATGACATCACTGTACTTGGGACATTCCCACATGTGCTCCGTCCCCGTCTTCAGTAGCCAATTAAAAGTCGACATGCTAATAGTACAAGTTGCCACCTGATTGAAAGCCCGCCTTTGTTTCCCCTTCAATGTTGAATATATTCCAGAACTAACCCATGCTGAATTAGTCTTTCTGTGTATGAATTCTATTTCTGTTCTTTTGCACTTTTTATTTGATCCCATAGAGCAGGGCCATTTAACTAAGTTAACCCAGGGGCCAAAGTGTTGGAAAATAGAATCGTTGCGGGCCAGAGGCTGAGCCCCAGCAAAGAAAGACCATTGTTACGATGCAGTCAGCAGGCCACATGTTTGACCTATTTGGGCCACATTTGGCCCGCGAGCCACTACTAAAATAGCGTGCGATAAAGCCTTTACCACATCCGCTTCATCGTATAGAAGCTTACCGTCCAGAGGAGGAGCAGCAGCTTATCTATCAGTCTGCTTGTTGACTCGCACACTTGAATGACCTGAGCAGAATATATATGATATGCATTTGACCTGGGTCTTATCAAGTAATGCAAGTCACTCTGATCGTTGGACACCAGTTTCAATTTTCCGAAGCATGCTCTATGAGTCTGTTACAATTACAACAGATTGGGCTGTGCTGCTCTCAAGGCATCGCAAAGCTGCCGTTACTGTCTCTACCTCCATTCTCATACTTGATGTTGGGACGTTATATGCCAGGCTCTGTTTTTCCAGCAGTGTCCATTTACCTTTGCAATCAAACCGCACCCACTCCTCTTACCTCTCACCGCAGACCCATTTGACGGGGCGTCAGTGTTCATTTGTCATTTCTGGCACCGCAGTCCATTCCAGTCACCCTCGATCCAAGGTAACTATCATTCTGTGCAAGTCTGTGTTGTTGGCCGCACTGTAACCTATTCTTTACTGTACTCTATCTTGTCAGTAATACAAATAGTTCTGATCGTGACTTTTGCCTGTGCCATCCAAGTAAGTAAAGTAAAGTAAAGGAGCCTTTTCCACGCATTTAGGCGTATAGGGCATATAGGGCTAGACCTTTATTTTTATAGACCAATCGGCACAAGATGGGTGATGTGGTTAGCATCACGCCGGCCGCCTTTACTTCTCGAGACTAGTCCCAGTACCCACTCAAGGCTAGGTCGACCTGGGGTGCCATCCAAGAGCCACCTTTTTTCAGCCGATGTCCCTTGCTATCTCCTAAGGCCTCCCCTACGAAACTGTTGAACACCATCTCTTTGAGTGCCCAAAACTCAGTGAGACAAGAAGAACGCTACTCCCTCCGAGACCAGACAAGTGGAACACCTTGTACGGAGGAAAAGAACAGCTTGTGAAAACATGCAAATTCCACTACATGGCATTGGGCCAAAGGGTGAAAGCTCATGCGCCGCTGGATCGATAACAACATCAACAATCTCCTAAGGCCTAATGCAAAAGGTGTTCCTTGTTCAGTGCGACTTTAAGGGACATTTTCGCCTATAAAACCTTGTCTCTCTCACATACGGATAGTAATGCAAGTATATGCTGCATGCACGCATTAGGCGTGTCTCGTGTACACCCCGAAATGACTCGCATGGCTTCATTTTGTACGCATTCCAACTTTTCTGTTAGGGAATGAGATAATGTACCAGTCGCAAACCAGACCCCATCACTGAAACAGTCAGTTGCTGGTAAAGTGTATTTTCTGTTATGAAACTATCGGAATTTTAAACCGCGACAACGAAAGAGAAACATGCACACGTGATGCCATGAACTCAGAATTCCAAGCAATGAACTTCTACATCTGCCCAAACATATCGTCTCAGTGTCGCAGAGGGCACGCCAACTGTTCTGATGTATCTGGATACGATACCCGCCTCATTTTTGCTAGAGGATTACGACAGATCATATGTCAGCCCACATTTACATATGAGACATGGACTGAAATATTCGTGGCGTCAACATTTCATGTGAAATCCTGGTCACCGCTGCATCACATAACACTCATGGTGCCACATAAACTCGTTCTCACATCATACCTCAATCATAATTCATGGAATAAGTCTGAGAGTTGTCGCACTTGGCACGCAGTTTCAAGAATATTTGCTGGGATGTGTCATGCTTAAGACATGCTGGTGGGTTTATGATATACAATTGTATGCACACTCACACACACGCACACAAGCACACAAACGCCCACTTGTATGTGTGTGTCTCTCTATCTCTCACTCTCTCACTCTCTCTCTCTCACTCTGTGTGTGTGTGTGTGTAAATGTGTGTGTGTGTGTTTGGGGATTTAGGGAAGGGTGTTCAAAATCAGCTATGAGAGTTCCACCACAACAGTTATTTAAAAAAAATCTGGCACATTCTGGACAAAGAATAACAATACAGGCACTGAAAAATGAAACAAATGGTGTAATGAATCTACTATTGAAACTACTAATGTAAAATAAGTAGGGAATACATCAAACATATGACAGCCTTGTGTCGTATTTATGAGGGGGAAACATAAGCGGACATTTAATCAGGGGGTCACTTGTATTGTTAGCAAGTATATTTTTTCTCTGGCTACTGAAGAAGGGGATGGTGCACATGTGGGAATATCCCGAATGTAGTGATGTCAATTCTTGATTCAGACAGTCATTTATTCATTCATACTTCGTCTAGTTTCTACACTCAATATATTTATTGCATCTCGGCTACAGTCCCCCCCCCCCCCCCCCACCACCACTTTCCCCCTTTTTGTGTTTCTTCCAAAGAAAATATGTCAGGCGTATGAGCACCAAACCCTCCCCCCCCCCCCCCGCCCACACACAACCACACTCACCCAAACGTTGACTTTGTGTGGGCGCCTTGATTCACAGTCAAAATATAGAACTAAATTGTATCAGTGTAAGAGGACACAGTACATTATTATCTTCTTCTTCTTCCTTGCGCTCACCGGCTGTAAACTCCGGTGGAAGGTTCTGGTTGTTCGTCCACCTCTGGACATTCGTCTTATTCCAGAATCTGGATGTTGCTGGACCTCATTTTAACAGATCTGACTTACTTGTATGCAGATTGTTGGTTCCTTGCCTCTCAGGCAGATGCGTTCCGACTTCGAAGGAAAACCACCCAATTAGTCGACACTTACGTCATGCATGCAGTACATTATGAACATAATTCATGTGTGCTAACGGGAAATTTTGTTTCCATCCAGAAGATTGGAGGAAGAGTACATAGATCTAGCGACAAAGATCGAAAGAGACGCATCGCTGTCAGAGCTGGCCGATACCGGAGTACCGCTGTGTCCACTGTGTAACAAGATGGAACTGACCCTCAACCAGGACGGCAGCAGGTCCAGTATGAACGTGTGTGTGGACTGCGAGAAGATGACTTGCACACGCTGTGGTGGCTACCAGACATCAGTGACCACCAGGGTAAGTTGTATTGTCTGCCGCTCTCTCTGCGTATCTTTCTGCTTGTTTCCTTCCCTCATGGTTACCACATAAAGATTTGATCACTCCTGAGATTTCTAGTCGTATCTTGGGCTCTCCTCCGAACTTCTACCCCCGCATTGTGGCGGCCAAACAAATATGCTAACAGGGCCCATTAAAAATATGCGAACTTCCGGCGACGAACGAATCGCAGCAAAACTAGGATCGGCTCCGTATAACGAAACAAATGCTCTAACAGGGTCTCAGCAATATGTTAATTGCGGACCTATTTCTGTGACTATGCCTCACCGCTAAACTAGATGGCTGAGACTCACGAGCAGCAGCTACCGCATCTCCTGCAACTTCCCCCAATTAATTTGCAAGTGATTCCCAGGCATCTAGTTTAGCCCTCATACGGGGGATACGGTCGGTGGTGAGGCATAGTCACAGAAACAGGTCCGCAATTAACGCGCGGGATACTGTCATCGGTGAGTGTAACCGCGTTTTGCGCTTGCCGACAAGTTTGAGGACAACAACGACGCTTATCTGCGTCGGCGCGCGTGGTCTCCCCGCTATGTCGCTTTTATTGTCTGTAATGTTGCGTGTCTCGAAATTGTCAACGGTCGCTACTATAGTCTGCTAGGATCGTATGCAGAAACGCTTGAAATTGTCAACGGTTGCTACTATCGTCTGCTAGTATCGTCTGCAGAAACGCTTGAAAATGTCAACGTTCCTATTATCGGCTGCTACTATCGTCTGCAGTGTTGCGTCTCTTGAAATTGTCAGATAATCCTGGTTTTGCCGCGATTCGTTCGTCGCCGGAAAGTTGGCATATTTTGATAGGACTGAGGCCCTGTTAGGATATTTGTTTGGCCGCCATAATGCGGTGGTAGAAGTTCAGAGGAGAGCCTTCTTGGGTGGCAGACCAACAGGGCAATCCCCACAGAAGGATGAATAAGTTAGAACCCTTATCACGTGTTTGGGGTATCATAAAGAGAGGGGCACCACAGAATTTTCAGTAGCATTGGAGCTAAGCGTTAGTTTTCTCAGTTGAAGTATATTACAAATCCCGTTAGAACAACGTTGCAATAAGGCAGACTCGGCACCTTATCTCTAGTAAGTATAGAAGCAGATCTGTTACAAATTAGATTTAAGAAGCTAATCAAAAATTTTGTTATTTACAAAAATAGATGGAGACAACTTTTCAAATATAAATAAAGAAGTATGCACAAACATGTCTTTTTTTTTTAACTTTCTGTAAGTTTTGTTTATTTTTTATGTAAAAAATAATATTTTATGGTTTGTTTTTGTTTATATCTTGAATTACATATATTTGGGCGCATCAATGCCGTTTTAACACATAGGTCACTTGCCCGGGGGCCTCCACAAGCTAATCTGTGTGTGTCAAGTGACTATTCATTTCACATTTTATTACTGTACGTGGTTGTTGAAGGGACCCCAGCACGCTAGTTTGCCTAGGGGACCATATTGATGTTAAGACGACTTGGGAGCTGGTGGGCGTGGGGGGGGGGGGCACTGAGATCTGTTATTGCTTAGAGTAGCAAAGGATCCTAGTTCTGGCAAACCGGCATTGCCCCTTCCTGTTTAACCTCCAAAATGTCCTATTCTGGCACCGCTTACGGTGACACCAGCAAGATGTAATCTACAGACGATGTGCGAGTAAGGATGTATGTGAACGATGTGCCGCTAACGATGTGTGTGAACGATGTGAGGGTAGGGATGTGTGTGAACGATGTGCCGCTAACAATGTGTGTGAACGATGTGCCGCTAACGATGTGTGTGAACGATGTGCCGCTAACGATGTGTGTGAACGATGTGCCGCTAACGATGTGTGTGAACGATGTGCCGCTAACGATGTGTGAACGATGTGCCGCTAACGATGTGTGTGAACGATGTGCGGGTAAGGATGTGTGTGAACGATGTGCGAGTAAAGATGTATGTGAATGATGTGCGGGTAAGGATGTGTGTGAACGATGTGCGAGTAAAGATGTATGTGAATGATGTGCGGGTAAGGATGTGTGTGAACGATGTGCCGGTAAAGATGTGTGTGAACGATGTGCCGGTAAAGATGTGTGTGAACGATGTGCCGGTAAAGATGTGTGTGAACGATGTGCCGGTAAAGATGTGTGTGAACGATGTGTCGGTAAAGATGTGTGTGAACGATGTGCGAGTAAAGATGTGTGTGAACGATGTGCCGGTAAAGATGTGTGTAAACGATGTGCCGGTAAGGATGTGTGTGAACGATGTGCGGTTAACCATGTGTGTAAACGATGTGCGGGTAACCATGTGTTTGAACGATGTGCGAGTAAAGATGTATGTGAACGAATTGTGATGTTTGTCTTGTCTTCTCTAGTGGTTTTGTCGTGTGGGTTAAAAACGCAGCATAAAACTCCGGAATACCTGGTCTAATTCACCTGTAGGCGATTCGGAAGCTAACCGCTTTATGTTGATTTAGACAATGGTGTGGATCTAGGAGCGTCCATAAAGCAGTGCCAAACTACTGGACGTCACACTAGCTAGTAAAGCCACAAGTAAATTTGAGGGTTGGGAAACGTCTTGGGAAAGGATGTCCTAGTAACCAGCTTGGCATTTAGTATTTTTTTTTTTTTTCCGCTTCTGTCTTCTTGATTTCGCAATTTAACTATTATTTTATCCTCGATACTACTGCATGTGTGTAAACAGATAAATAGGCATAAGCATATGTAGGCACACACACACACGCCCGCGCGCACACATATATCATCAAGTACTTGCCATCAGGCCCAAACAACCTACGACCAGCAACAGTATGTAACAGTTCATGCACTAATACCCTCTATGTAATTTTGAAAAGCTGTCAGGAATCGTTTGGCGCGCCTTCCTCTATCTCTCTCTGTTACTATACACAAATCATTATCAAAGGTATTACAGTTGATAGCAATCTAAATTGGCGATCTCGGGGTCATGTCAAAACCAAGAATATAGCATAACAAGTTTATCGACTAGGAAAAATTCAGCACTTTCTGGATCAAAATACACCAACAATATTTCACATATCCTACATCCAAGCCCATATCGACAAATGTTCCACAGTCTCGAATAGTTGCTCTGAATAACATAAAACGACTGTGTTCTCTACAAAATCGCACTTTACGCCTAGTCTCTAATAGAAAACACTAGGGCTGTACCGAATAATGATTTTCACTATTCAGACGAATACGAATAGAAGGACCAACTATTCGGCCGAATACAAATAGGAATAGTGTATCATCATCATCATCAGTTGCCTTGCCGACTGGCGTGGGCGATTATGCCTCGCCACAATCTGCGATCTCCTGCAGCATGTATTAGTTCGTGTGCTGACACACCTCTATGCCATGCAACAATACTGTCAAGAATCTTTTCTAGTTGTCTTCCTCTGTCCCTCCTTCCACAGATCTTTCCAGTGGTCGCCACATGTTCCATTTTCCCTCTTCTCATAACATGGCCAAAAAATGGTGACTGTCTCCTTCTGATGTCTGTGATTAGTTGTCTTCGGGTCCCTACCTCTTTCAAAACCTCTTGGCTGCTTTTTTTTTTGGGGGGGGGGGAGGGGGGGCTGTCCTAGGTATTTTAAGCATTGTTCTGTAAAACCACATCTCTGAGGCCTCAAGAAATTGTTTAGCCTGCCTACCGATTGTCTACGACCCACAGCCATTTGTTAAAACTGGATGTATGTAGCCAGCTATAATTCTTTTTCTAACCTTTAATGACAAAGATATATTGCATAAGATGTTCTTCATTTTATCAAATGCAGTTTTTGCCTGTCCTGTTGTTTCTTATTTCAGTAATGCATCTTTCATCTGATGTTATCCATGTGTCAAATTCGCATTCGATGTAATTTAAACACACCTTTAAATTCTCGTTAGCAATATCTTCAAATTGCATTTGGGCAAAACACCCTGAAAGAACGAAAAAATGCATGATCACACACACACACACACACACACACACACACACACACACACACACACACACACACAGAAACACACACACACACAAGCAACAAAAAAGAACGCATTACCTTTAAATATAAGTGCTTACTTGACGAGGCAAACAGTTACTTTTGAACAGACCACATTTTCCACTTTTAAATTTCAGCCAAAATGTAATCACAACCTTACTTATCCGCTGCATTGTCACGAATACACATGGAGGATCGTCGCACCTCGAGATAAATACAAAGATAATTTTTAGCACGCTGCGGTTTGAGAACCTTTGCTGTAATGCCTCGGTCGAGTCCGCAGGCAAAAACCTTGCCAGCTACTTTACCACGCAAACGGGTCTCAATTTCCCCCCGCTACGACAGACTTAGGCAACATAAACTATTGTGTTAATGAGAGAGTTATTTCCAGTGTTGCCACTGTGGATGTTTTACATCCAGATTTAGATGTTTTCTCTTGCATTTAGATGGTGTTTTAGACCTTTAGATAGTAGATGTTTTCCTAGACGTTTTTCATTTGGAGTTAGATATTTAATAGATTTTTTTCTTTCAGTGTCAGTTTAATAATTACTGTGTAAAATATTTACTACAATATTTTTGTTTTTATTCTGGTACGTACATTGTGACAATTGCGATTACTTAAACTTTGAACTCTCACTTGGGTCAACGCTCAAATATGTGGCAGCCCCGGTACTAATTAATTAAAAGAGCGCGTAAATCATACTAGCTTTGTTTCAACCGTATCCTTAACTGTGTTGACTTTGTGTTTCTTTTTCATGTGATTTTTCAAAAATAATTGCTCACTTTTACATGTGGCTTTCACTTTGAAACAATCGTTCAACATGCCAAAAGTAAATTATGAGCAACAATTTCGGAAAGAGTTGTTGCATAATGACAAAATTAATTTGATTTGATTTGATTCAAGAACCGACATCACAGCACTCGGGGCATTCCCAAAAGCGCTCCGTCTCCATCTTCAGCAGCCAGCGAAGAGTTCCGATACTAATGGTGCCAGTAGCTT